TTTGGGTATATGAAAATGATCTCATGTGGACCCTTATTTCCCCAAGGTGCTCAATATAATGAATCTTTTCATTGTATTTTGTGGTCATGTGCGTGAAGTGCTGTATTTCATCCCCAGCTGATAAAGGCCTATAAAACATAACGTATATAGAACTTCCACTTCTGAGAAGACAGCATAGATGCCCTTGTTGTACTTTTCCCTATTTTTCCTGATAAACTAAAAACTCTGTACATTATATATAAAACACACATATAAGAGGACTGAAAAGTGGAGAGAAGAAAGCAGACTAGCTAGGAATCTTAGAAACCGAGGAAGAGCACAACTATGAATTTGTAGGATTTCTTCTTGCCTCATAAATCCCACACTTGGACCTGAAGAAGCCAGCTACTGGGAAATGCCAATGGATGTGAAAAAAATAAAGAAAGAAAGCCCCAGCTAAAAGCCTGCTTTCTCCAGCAACAGGACCAGGAAAGGGGCAGCATAGCAAGATAGAAACCTTTTAGAAAATTCTACTCCACTCTAGCCAGAAGCCACAGGAAACACTGGGCCCACCACTACCCACACCAGCGAAGGCTGAGTAGAGAGCCTGGACTTCCCCCCAGGCCAGGCTGAAGTGAGGTAACCCCAAATCCCCATGGAGGTGATGTCAGAGAAGATAGGAGTTTTCATCCCCACCAGGGTGTGATGAGACCACATGGGGAGCCTGGAGTTCCACCTTCACCTTGCAGCACCCTGCCTCTCCTTCCCACTGGAGAGTGACGACTCTTACCACCTCCCAGTGGTAAGGAGGCTCCTCCTCTGGTGGTGCCAGTGGGGGTCGTGCAGGGAGCCAGAACTCCCACCCCTGCCCAGCAGTGATGAGGAGCCCTCAGTTGGGTAACAGAAGAGGCCAAGTGGAGATCCTGTACTTCTGCCTCCACCAGGTAGTAAAAAGGTAGTGTTTCTCTCTGCTACCATGCATGAGTGGTTTCAGAAAAAATCAGCTAAAATAAGGTTTAAATAAGATCTGAAGTCTCATAACAATACAAAAATGTCTAGGTTTCAACTGAAAAAATCATCATCCAAATACCCACTTTTACCACCCTTATTCAGCATAGTGCTAAAAGTTCTGCCCAGTGCAATAATGTAAGAAAAGGAAATAAGAGGCATACCGATTGGAATAGAAGAAATAAAACTTGTCCCCATTTGCAGATGGAATGATTGTCTATGTAGAAAATCCCAAGGAACCTACAAAAAAGGACAAGTTCTAGAACTAATAGATAAGTTTAGCAAGGTCACAGGTTCTACAAAAAACTACTATATTTCTATATATTAACAGTGGACACTGAAATTAGAAATATTTACCATTCCTCAAACCCAAACTATTTAGGTTAATATAACAAAACATAACAGGACAATAAATTGATAAAGATCTAAACTAAGGAAAATAAATAGACATAGTGCTCATGGATTGGAAGACTCAACACAGTAAAGATATCAATTTTCTGCTAATACAAAGATGTAATTCCTATCAAAATCCTAATAAGATTTTATACATATAGAGAATATTATTCTAAAATATATATTAAAAGGCAAAGGAACTAGTATAGAATAAATCAGCCTACCCAAATTCAAAATTAATTATATAGCTACAATAGTTAAGATGATGTGTTATAGGCAGAGAGGTAGACACATAGATCAGTAGAAAAGAATAGAGAACGTAGAAACAGGTCCACACAAATATGCCAAATGGATTTTGACAAAGGTGCAAAAGCAATATATTGCAGAAAGAAAGCCTGTTCAATAAATGGTGATGGAGCAATTGTACATCCGTAAGCAAAAAACAAATGGGCTTTGACCTAAGTGTTATACCTAATATAAAAGTAACTCAAAATGCATCACAGATTTAAATGTAAAACATAAACTATAAAACTTGTAGGGAAAAAATATTAAGGATCTAGATCCAGGTTCATAGTAATTAAACCTTATAAAAAAGCATCATTCTATCTTTGCTTTTTGTTGCCTGTGCTTTTCAGATGTTATCCAAGAATTTCTTGCCCAGACCAACACCATGAAGCATTTTCCCTGTATTTTCTTCTAGTAGTTTTATCATTTTGGGTTTTACATTTAAGTCTTTAATACATTTTGAGTTGATTTTTGTATGTGGTAAGAGATAGGAGTCTACTTTGTTCTTCTGCGTGTGAATATACAGATTCCCAGTACCATTTATTGAAGAGATTGTTCTTTCTTCATGTGTGTTCTTGGCACTTTTCCTGAAAATGAATTAGCTATAAGTGCATAGATTTATTCTTGTGTTCTTTATTCTGATCCATTGGCTTACGATTTATGCCAATGCCATGGTATTTTGGTTACTATAGCTTTATAGTATATTTTTAACCCTTTACACTCGGATGTCGAGTATGGATAATGTCGGGTGGATGATGAGAAAAAAACAAGCGAGTGCAAAGGGTTAAGTTAGATAGTGTGATGCCTCCAACTTTGTACTTCAGGCTCAAGATTTCTTTGGCTATTCAGGGTCTTTTGTGACTCCATACAAATTTTAGGGCTTTTTTTATCTTTGTGAAGGATATCATTGGTAATTTGATAGGAATTATGTTGAATCGATCGCTTTGTATAATATGAACATTTTAACAATTTCTTCTAATCCATGAGTGTGGGATATCTTTTCATTTATGTGTGTCCTCTTCAATTTCTTTCATCAGTGTTTTATAGTTTTTAGTGTAGAGATCTTTTCATCTCCTTGGTTAAATTTATTCCTAAGTATTTTTTGTAACTATTGTAAATGAGATTGTTTTCTTGATTTTTTTTCTAGACAGTTCACTATTAGTGTATAAAAACACTACTAATCTTTGTATGTTGATTTTGAATCCTACAACTCTATTGAATTTATTAGTTCTAACAGTTTCTTAGTGGAATCTTTAAAGTTTTCTATATATGAGATGACGTCATCTGCAAACAGTACAATTTAAGTTCTTTTCTAATTTGGATTCCTTTTATTTCTTTCTCTTGCATAACTGCTCTGGCTAGGACTTCCAGTACTATTATATGTTGAATAAAAGTAGCAAAAGTGAATATCCTTGTCTTGTTCCAGATCTTAGAGGAAAAGCTTTTAACTTTTCTCTGTTCATGTGATATTAGCTATGGGTTTGTCATGTATGGCCTGTATTGTGTTGAGGCACATTTTTCCATGCCTAATTGAATGGCTAATTTATGCCTAAAGAAATAAAAGGAATCCAAATTAGAAAAGAAGAAGTTAAATTGTACATGTTTGCAGATGACATCATCTCACATATAGAAAACTTTAAAGATTCCACTAAGAAACTGATAGAACTAATAAATTCAATTGTTGAAAGTTTTTATCATGAAGGAATATTGAATTTTGTCATATGCTTTTTCTGCATCTATTGAAATTATCATGTGGTTTTTGTCCTTCATTCTGTTAATTCTGATGTATCACATTTATTGATTTGCATATGTTGAACCATCCTTCCATCCCTGGGATGAATCTCACTTGATAATGGTGAACGATCTTTTTAATGTACTATTGTATTCAGTTTGATAATATTTTGTTGAAGATTTTTACATCTATGTTCATCAGAAATATTGGCCATAGTCTTCTCTGTTTGGGTGTCCTTGCCTGGCTTTGGGGATTACATCAAACTAAAAAGGTTCTGCACGGCAAAGAAAACAATCAGAAGAGTGAAAATACAACCTATAGCATGAGAGAAAATATCTGCAAGTTATTCATCTGACAAGGGATTAACATCTATAATTTATAAGGAACTCAAAGCAAAAAAAAATCGAATTAGAAAATGTTCAAATGGTATGAATAGACATTTCACTAGAGAATATACATATGGCAGATCACATAAAAGATCATTAACATAATTATATTAGAGAAATACAAATTAAAACTACAGTGAGATATCACTACACACTTATCAAAATGGCTAAAAGAAAAACTAGTGACAATACCAAATGCTGACAAAGAAGCAGAGAGACTGGGTCACTGAAATATTGCAGAAAAGAAAATAAAATGCCATTCTGAAAAACAATTTGACAGTTTCTAAAAATCTAAACATGCAACTACCATATGATCCAGGAATTATACTCTTGGGCATTTATCCCAGAGAAATTAACACTCATGTTCACCTGGAAACCTATGCCAGAATGTTTATGACAGCTTTGCTTGTAATATTCAAAATCTGGAAACAACCCAGATGTCCTTCAACAGGTGAATGACTAAACAAACTATGGTATTAATGTTTCCGTACCATGAAACACTACTAAGCAATAAAAAGGAACAAACTACTGATGCATCATGCAACCATGATGCTACTTGAGACTTGGAAGAATCTCCAGAGAATTATTCTGAGTGGAAGAAAAGCCAGTCACAAGAGTTTACATACTGTGTGATTCCATTTACATAACATTCTTAAAATGACAAAATTATGGAAATAGAGACCATATTAATGGTTGCCAAAAGGTTAAGGAGGGTTCGGGAGCAACATGAAGGGTCTTTGCAGTGATGCAAATGTTCATAGCTTAACCTTATCAATGTCAATATTGAGGCCATGATATTGTCCTCTAGTTATGTAAGATGTAAGAAAGGGAAGGGGATAGAGGATTGCTCTGCATTACTTCTCATAACTGCATGTGAATCTAAAATTATCTCTAAAACGTTCAATTTTTAAAAAATAAGCCAATAAAAATACAATGTATAGGGTAATTTGTTAATGATTAAAATGCATAAATCATGCCAACTTGCATACTATATCTTCAGACTCTTCAACTCTTGTTGTTTTTAATGACAACACTAGGGTGGGTAAGCAGGTGGAGGGACAGTTGCATACCATGCATTACAGTTTTTTCAAGGGAAAATATGGTGGGAAAAGTCTGAGTAGACCACCTGTTTGTTGATGTTTATCCCACGTTTCAAGGGAATGCCTGAAATCTACAGTCACCATCCAGTGACATCTCACATTCTTTTTTATCTTCAGGAAAGCCCCTAGTGAAAACATCACGAATGACGGTGCTCAACACAGAGAAGCCTGAGGTCACTGTTGACATCGGAAGCACCATCAAAACAGTGCAGGGAGTGAATGTGACCATTAACTGCCAAGTTGCAGGTGAGAAATCCATTCCTGTATTTGTGTGTTTAAATATTGGGGATTCAAAGATAAATCAGACACGGATGCTGTTCTCAGGGATGCAGTGCTAGTAGGAAAGCTAAAGCATGAGCTTTCAATCACCCTTGAAAGTAGAAAGTGCTACAGAAATTTAGAGAAGGAAAGATTAATTCTTTCTAGGACAGAGGCAGTAAAGTAGGTGTGTTTTTAAAATCTTGGCCTTCCATACTGATAAATGTGAACATGCAAACATTGGGGAAAGGAGTTCCCAGTGGACAAAGGCATGTGAGAAAACTCATGGGAGCAGGAAAGACTATACAGGGAACAGGGTGAGATGTGGTCTGCTGAGGCCGGAGTGCAGAAGTGGTGTGAAGGGCTTCAGTGTCAGTAAGGTGAATTGTGACTGGACCATAGAAGACCCTGAATGCCTGGTCAAGGAGTATTGACAAAGGCAGACAGAGAGTGATATTAAGGAGTCATGACCCCATAAGAGTGAGCCACCAGCAGTGTGTAAATTGGCTAAAAGAAGAGAAATACTGGGACAGAGAGGCCAGTTAAGAAGCCATCACAGGGGGTGTGGGCCAGTTGCGCAATGGATAACGCGTCTGACTACGGATCAGAAGAAGCCATCACAGGGGCAGATGAAGAAAGGCTGGTTACTGGGTGTAAACATACAATCAGATAAAGAAATAAGACCTAATGTGAGATGGATCAGTAGGGCGACTACGGTTAACATTAATCTATTGTACATTTCAAAATAGCTAGAAGAGAATAAATCAAATATTCCTAGATAAGTAAAAGATAAATATTTAAGATGATGTATATCCCAATTACCCTGATTTGATCTTCGGACATCATATCATTATATCAAATTATCATATGTATCCTGAAAATATGTACATCTATTATGTATCAGTTTAAAAAAAGAAGCCATCATAGTAGTTTAGAGGAGAGATTATGGGGCCTGAACTCAGGGCAGTGGTGGTGGAAAGGTAGGGAAGGGATGAACATGAGGGAGATAGCAGAGGTAAGACCAACAGGAGCCTGGGGTTCACCCAGATCAGAAATGGGCATGGGCAGGAGTCACTAGAGAAGATAGCCAATGTGATTAAGAGTTGTGACATAGGCATCGCTCTTGGGTAGGACTTACAAACTCAGACCCCAGCAAGGCACAGGGAAGTGAGGAGTAGTGGACAATAGGGAGTGGTAGAATGCTCTTTATGAAGGTATTGACCTTCAGTTAAAGAATGAAAAACACCAACACAGAGCAGAACAAAGCCCAGCTACTATTTATCCCTTCCTGTGGACCACTCATTTCTGATGTAAAGCCTGGGGCTTTCACTCCCACAGTGGAATGAAGAAATGAATGGCTCTTATGCCACTGGGCAGCTACAGTTTCCTGATCACTGTCCTCATGAGACATGCCCTACAGAGGTGTGCCTACTCCCAAACCCAACCCCAGGCTCCCCGGTTATATCCTGTCTGCAGAGTGGACAGACAGTGATGCCTCTGCTCTGGGGGTTTCTCCAGCTTAGACCTCAGTCTCCTCATCTGAAGGTTTACCTCAACTTGTTACTTACAAGTCCAGAAAACCCATTTTGGAGTAATAGGAAGAATATCTAAAGCTAGGGCTTATTGTTTCTAAATAACAGCCAGATCAGATTTTATCTGAAATGTTCCAATAGCATCAGGATATGTGAAATATAAATCTTTGTGCATTAGCTTCCCCTTTGTGAAGCTCCTCTTGGCCTTTGTAATGCTTCCCTTCCAGCTTCATCAGTGAAACCTTCCTGAACCAAATCCCTTTCGGCCCTGTTCTCCTAGACAGAGAGTAAGACAGAACCCCTGACAGGTATCCCCGTGAATGAGCTGCCCCCAGTGCAGGGATTAATGGTGCCACCTGGGCCCTTTCAGAACAGTCACTCCCCACCTGTTCATGAAGAACACATGCCTTGGAGATGAAACACTGGGGATATGATGGGCCATGCGGTATCTATTCTTGAGAGTTGGGATTGGTAGGAGTAAAAGAAAAGGGGAGGAAAGGATAGCAAAACAAGGAATTGGGCATTTGAAGGATATTGAGAGAACAGGTATCCAGGTGGGACGGTATTTATCGCAGGGAGCATAGGACATTACAGTGAGCTTGGTCCACTCTTTCATGCCACCTGGGGTCCTGTCTGCCAACGTCCCTCATCCAGCAGCTCACCTGGTCACCTTATAGTGAGATCCATCATGGCTGTATCCAGCTTTTGCCTGGCTGTGACACTGTAGTCTTTGTTTTTGTCTTCACCCATAGAACCATTTGTATTCTGGTAACTAAAATAAATCTTGTGTCTCTGTCTTGATGCCTTTTGTTAAACAAGATACTTATTCAGAGTGGGTGGGACACAGCCTGCTTTTGATTCCATAGTGAGTTTGCTAGACAAGGAAATCATCCTCTAGCTAAGTCTCCAGTCAAAATACTGACGGTGATAATGCTAAATGCCAACTGGCAGAGGAACTGCTTTTACTTTGCTGCTATGAGTGGCTCTTATGGCTCTTTCCCTGCTCTCGATCATCTCTACCCCCTCTCTAGCTGGGCAGGTTAGTGACCTCAGGAGTGGTCAGGTAGAATTCTCTAAGCCCCAGCAACATTCCCAGTGGCTTGCAATACCCTAGCTTGAGAATTAGCAACCCAGGCCCTGGTAGTGAGCAGAGAAGTGGGACTCCTTATATATGGGCCTCCTTAAAGAAGGATTTCATGTTTAATTCATTTGGCAGTTTTTATTGAATATCTAGTGCAGGATAGATCAGATGTCTCCTAATACAAGGAAACATAGATGAGTAAAATATATTACTTTCAGAAAGCTCATAGTATGGGGAAAAGGAAAAAAGTTATGAAATGCATAACTATAATGTAACATATAGGTAAGGTTGTTGTTTTTTATTATAAAATATTGGAATATTGCAATTTTGGAAAACACAGAAAATTTAAAGAGAAGCCAAAAAGAAAAGACAACAACTTGTTCAAAGTCCCACTCTCCAAATTCAACCAACCACAGCTGACATTTTTTGCATATTTCCTTAATCGTGACATTTTATCTTCCTTTTCACTTGATAATGAACATTTTTCTGTGTCATAAGCATAATTTTAATGGCTATATAATAGTCTATTTTAAGAATATGACATAATTTACCTAGACTGACTTATGTCCTCATATATTTGAGTTGTTAGCAGTTTTTCATTAAACAACTTTTTGCACACATGTGCTTTCAGCTTATAAAATGCAGCCTTACAAATTCTTCCCTGCCCTTATAAAGCACTAAGTAATGAGTATAATGGGGCTTTTTCTTGAAAGGTGATCCAATCCACTATACCATTCCCATACTTATTCTCTATTTGATGAGAGTTCAGAAAACTGAGTAGGAGACAGAGGATCACAGGAGAAAGAAGTGTTGTAGTAAATGGGAACAGGATATGGGAAGGGCCTGAGACAGAAAGAGCATGCTGTGTGGAAGTAAAAGGAAGTGAAAGTGGCTGGTGCAGCTGTAGAATAGAGAGCAGAGAAGAAAGTGGCATGTAGGGCTGGGGAAGTGGGGGTCGCCAGGGGCTAGATCTTACACACTCTCATAGATTATGGTACAGTTTGAGTTTTTATCCTAAGAGCACGGGAAAGCTGTTGAGGGACTTACTTAGGAGATAAAATTGGCAGGACTTGGTGATGCAGAAATAAAGAGCTCAGGAGCCAGTGATGGGGATGGTATGTTAGTTAGGGTAGACTGGACTCAGGTGTCAAGTAGGCCCCCAAATGAATAATGGCTCAAACATAGTAGAAGTTTGTTATTGCTTACCTAAGAATGCAAAGAGTGCTTCTGGTCACCTGGAGAGGATCCACCTCCACACTGTCATTTAGGGCCGCAGGATGCTGGTGGCTCTATTACCTTGGACATGTCCCTTCCAAGATTTCCCTTGGGAGTATCTCTATCCTGTCAACCAAAAGAGGGGAGAAAACAAAGTGTGGGGGATGGTTGGGAAGGTTTTGAAGGGGCACACCTGGAGTACTTTTCACATTCCCTTAGTCACATGGCCACACACAACTACAAGAGGTGCTGGGGAATGTAGCCTCATTGGGAACTCGGGAAAAGGAAGGAAACGGGTTTTGTGAATAGTTATCACTGTGCCACAGTGAGTGTGGAGAAACGTGGAAGGCTGAGAACCTCTTTTCCAGACTGCACGGTTCTTTAGAATAATGGAAAGGCTGATGTTTGAGTTTCTGTATCCTTTCTCGTTTCTTTCACCAAGCTATCCCACCCCCACCTCACCTAAGAAGCTTCTAGAACTTACTGTGTTAAGGCACACCTTTGAGCAGATGCCCTACCTCTAGATGTTGACAAGTTGGCACGGTGCAAGCGGCCTTCCAAATACAAAAAGGGGTTCAGTTCACAAGACTATCCCATCTGGGATTTAAAAAAAAAAAAAAAAAGAATATTATGGGATCACACTACCTGGCAGCTCAGTGGAGATCAAAGGCGTTAATCCTTATAATCATATCAAGTTACAACCCATTATGACTACACTCACTTTTCGATCCTTTTAGGCAACAGAGGGAGCATTGTATTGCTGATAAGATATGCCACGAGGGCAGAAAGCAAATGCAGGTTCTTTTCCTTTCCCTTTTTAAGATATGAATAATACCAGAGAATCCAGAGTGTGGAGGCTAGCCAAGTCAGTGGTCAACAGCAACAAAGCTTTGGACCTTGTTCTGTGGTAGAGTATATTTTCTGTCATTTTCCAGATAGTTCTTCCTATATAGCATATGCTGTCACATCACATCAGGCTAGAAAAAAATAATCTCCCACAGCCTGGCCAACTTCTCGACAACCGGGGAGACTGAACAAAGCCAGCCCATATGGATTCTAGAAACCTCATCCCTGACAGCAACCTTGGTGTTACCAACTGCAGCAGAAACGTTCATTCTGAAAGCAGAAAGGATTTAAGTTTGACAGTTTAGAAATAATAATGCGGCAGTCTGGAGTAATGGCAGGCAGTGGTGTAGACTTGTTAGGAAAGAGGTCCTTGGCATCAAAGATCTCTCAGTTAAGTCCCCACCTGCCATTGGTGGGTTACTGATTGGCTGTAGGGTAGGGAATTGGGGGAACAGGGACTCTGCCCCCCTGTAATCGTTCAGACACCCAAACTAATGTGATTTTAGGCAGATTTCTTAATCTCTTTGAGCCCCACTTTTCTCATCTTTAAAATGGACTTAACAGTACCTGTCTCATAGGATCATTGTGAAAAATAACTATGTTTATAAAATGTTTGGCTTACAGCAAATGTTCAGGCAATGTTATTTCCCCCTCTAACATGTTGAGGACGTTTTTGCGTAGCTCGGTGCACTCCCGATGTTGAAGCACTCTGAATGTCAGTAGTAGGCGTGTGTGTGTGTCTGGTACCTTTTCAAGGGACTCTGTGGATCATTCAAAGGCTGGTGAGGTTTTCCAAAGTATCATTGTCATCTCTTGAAGGAAAAAGAAAAAAGAGCTCTAGGATACCTCAACTGTTTTTCCTCTTTCCTTATTCTGTCTTTGCAATGCCAGCACCAGTCATGGAAGAACTGCTTTGTTCCAGAGCACCTTCTTCATGTCATTCTCTGCCTGAGGCCCACAGTCCGAGGCAGGAAGTCCCCAAAATGTAGCACCAGCAACACTACCTCCTTTGGCAAACTCATAATGCAGGTCTATGCTCGAGTGAGTCTGGGAGATGTTTGCTCACAAATAGATTAAAGAACGATTCCCACCTAATTTTTCTTCCCTTGGGACTGCTGGTTCCAGATTTACAGAGACTGGAGCTTACCTTTGCTATCCTGAACATTTCCATTTCTCCCATGAATGAACACCACCACCCCACTGTCACCAGAGGAATTCAGCCCTTTTGGTCCACACTCAGTCCTATCCACTCAAACAAGCACGATTTTAGGGAGGCACGAGACAAAGAGTAATAAAGGGAATGAAAGAAGCTCACAACCAATTCCTGGGGACATGAGAACCTGCTCCCAGGCCTCTCTCCATCCCTGGTTCTCTCCCTACCCCTACCCTACCCACTCAGTTTGTCACTCTAATTTTCTCTCTGCCTGTCCCAGAGCTCACTTTACATAGTTCTCCTCAAAGGAAGATGCCCTGCAAGGGAAAGAGAATGAATATTTGTAGAAAATGGTTTGCAAGACCTCATTTTTCCTTGTGCTTTCAGCAGAGAAATGACTGGGAGTGTTTTTCTTCAACTTACGTTCCAGAGGCTTTCTCCTAAATGCTATGTATTTTTTTCTTTTTCTTTTTCTTTTTTTTTTTTTTTAAATGGAAGAACTAAGCTCAGGGTCCAAAGTCCAAGTTGGCACGGGCAGTTGGCATGATGCTCTTGCTCTCCCTAGTGGTGCTGCAATGAAAAATCAGCCTTTCTGCCCCTCACCTGTATCTTTTCTCCAGGTAGATTTAGAGATGAGGCCTACCTGCCCCGGCTTCGTGCACTTGAGCATCGAGTGTTGAGCCAAGTTAGTTAAGCCTCTCCCCCATGTGACAAGTCTGCATCCGCTGTCAGTAGCCCGGCCTCCCTTTCTCCAGCCGGTTTTAAGACAAGTAACAGATACACAGGTCACTCCTTGAAGACTCTGTATCTTCAGCACTAGACTGGCCATTAAGGGTAAACTGCCCTTGCCCCAAGGGCAAACTTCAGCCCCAACTCAGGGAAAGCACTGGACTGAAGATCTGGCTCTTTAGCCATTCTGGTGAATCCCATTCACCAGGATTTGACATTCTAAATGTGCCTGGATACATGCCAGAAGGTTCTACCTGTGAATTTTGTGAACTGAGTCGGCAGGTTGGGGGACATAAGGGATGGGGCTTCTGGCTCCCTGGAGACCTATGAATCAGAGTTTCAGTCTCCCAGCACACTCATAGTTTGGTCTATGGAACTTTCTGGAAGACCATCTGGGAAGGCTTGTCCTAACTTCCAGGGCCAGCTTACCAGCATGTCAGCCACAAGGAAGCTTTCCAGGGAATTCATGCTGTCCCTGGAGTACAGAGCCTGACTTCCAAAGACAGCACTCATTCCAAGTCAGCACACAGTCTCCCCAGCTCTCTCACAGACAGTGAACTTGGATTGTGGGAAGGACAGAATACTTTCCTTTTATCCTTTTTCTGTGGTGCCACTGATACCACTGTTTCATGTTCTCTTACTCTGGGAAGAGACATAGGCTTCCAAAAAATATAAGTATGTTTCTGCATAGAGTATCAACTCTAGAAAGTATTTAGCAGCTTGTACTTGTTTCATTCATACATATATTTTAATGCCTTGTAGCTTTTAACTTTTTATTGAAATATATCTATATAGAAAAGTGCACATGTCATAAAGGACCAAGCGAACATTCTCCACTTGCCCAGTCAGCCCCAGGTCAAGAAACAGCATTGCCATAGGCCAAGCCCCTTGTCCCCTTTCTCAGTTACAGCCCCTCCCCATTTATCCCATCGTCTCAGGCGAACCATCACCCTGACCACTGACAACATAGATGAATGTTATCAGTTTTTTGTTTTTCACTTACAGAAATAAGATCATACAGCATGCACTCTTGTGTCTGGCTTTTCTTACTATTTGTTTCATGCATCTGTAGATCCTTCATGGTCCTGGATGTATACATTTGGTTCTCATGTTTTTATAATATGCTTTCTCCGAAGAATTGAGATACTTTCCTTCCACCCTGGCCAGTACCCTTTACCAGCTGCCTCCCTCTTCCTGCCTCATCAGTGTACCTTTTAAAAGGCAAAAGACCTGGAGACAACTGAGAGGTCCAAGGCAGTATTTAGTTTGGCCGAAGGAGGTGGAAGACGCCCAGGCAGATGCTTCCTGCAGAGCAGCCCCAGGGAAGGCTGGTCACCAGGCCGTGGATGCCCCTGGGTTCACCTGAATGTGTTTGACTGATGAGTTTATTTTTTTTTTTCTTCCTAGGTGTGCCTGAAGCTGAAGTCACTTGGTTCAGGAATAAAAGCAAACTGGGCTCCCCTCACCATCTGCACGAGGGATCCCTGCTGCTCACAAACGTGTCGTCCTCAGATCAGGGCCTGTACTACTGCAGGGCGGCCAACCTTCACGGGGAGCTGACGGAGAGCACCCAGCTGCTGGTCCTCGGTAAACTTTACCTCTCGGCCTCTGGCTGGCCCTGCTGGGGCTGCCTGGCTACCCCCCTCCTCCCCCTTTTCCCCTAATGCAGTGAAGGATGTGAAAGGCAAAATCAGTCTCCCTTCACTTCTCCCCAGGTTAGGGCCTTTTGATAGAAAGAACACAGACTTTGGGGCCAGGCAAACTGGAGCTTACACCCTCAGTACCTGTGACTAACTGTGTGGCCTTGGGCAGATGCTTCACCTTGCTAAGCCTTACATACTGGTCTCCACGTGGGGACCCGAGAAACCAGGATTGCCCACATTGCAGGGAGGGACCAGGGGATCAAATAGTGGTGACAGAGGTAAAGCAATTACCCTTAACTCCTTCTGTGTTAAGAACTTCGTTGAGAATCAGATTAAAAACTATGGATTTCTCCTTTGAGAAATATCCATACATGTAAAATTTTTCATATAATTCCAGAAAACGTATAGTCTCCACATACACCACTCAAACATAAGAACCCCTGATTAAAGAATCTAGCATGGTTCCTGGAATAAAATAGAAACTTAAAAATAACAATTGCTTGGACACCATCTGCCACCTGGTATTGCCCAGTGCTGGGCTCAGCATGATGCAAGCTGTAACCCTTTGTGCCCCTAAACTAGGGTCACCAAGCTCTTTTTCCCCACTGAGTCTAGGAGTTGGTGGGATGCAGTATAGAAAGAAAAAGAAGAAAAAGCTGCTTTTCCTCTTTAAAAAGAAAAAAAGCAATTATTAGGGCATTTGTGCTAGCTTTCTCACCAAGAGAAAGCTGTCATTCTGAGAAAAAAAAGGAAAAAAATGTGAGAAATAATAATTACATGCCACACACACATACATCGTGGGCTTCCCCAGGGAAAAATAATTAAAGTTTATACTTCTGTTTTCACACCCAGAGGTGAAGATATACCAACATACAGGATCTCTAGCCCCTGCCCACTCAGGTTTCAGAGGCCCAGTTGGGTTTTCATCTCACTGGTGGCTGCATAAACCTCCACCCATCTTAGGAAGCCACAGAAAACTTGGCTCGGAGAAAAGATGTCATTTGTTTTGCGTTGGGTTTCATCCAGCTGAGCTGCTAGTCTGGAGCCCGGAGCTCGGGGACTCTTGCCCCACACTGAGTTATGGTGCTTTTCCTCCCTAATCACCCTGCCTTGTTGCCTCTGCTAACAGAGATGAAAGTCTGGGAGGTGTGGCCGACACTGTGGCTGCACCAGTGAAGTGTGTATGTTCTGTGGTCCTGTTCTCACTGCATTCCAGCTCTCACACGGTGTGGCCGCGAACATGGTGATGGAAGATCGCAAAATCTTCCTTATTTTAATCAAATTCAATGGAGAAAAAAATCACTGTTAAGACTCTGAAGTTTAGAGCTTTTCTTGATGAGAAGTCTTGCTTTAATAATGAAAGTTTGTTAGTTTGTAATAGGTACTTTATAAACATGGCAGTAATGTCTCATTTTTTTAATCAGCAAGAATGTGGCTTAATTTTTTAAAGGGACATTTCATGTATAAAGCTGAGATTTCTTGTCAAGTTCTATGACTTAACCTGTACTATGAAGACTTGAAGTGTCAAGAGACTTTCATGCATTCATACAGTTATTGGATGAATGTTAATTAAATGTTGCCACTTAATGTTGTTGACATAAAGTCCCACGTCAGTTGCACACTGGTAGAGTTTTGGGAGAAAAATAAGAGGTGACCTCTACAGCTAGAGAATTTACAGTTTCCATGGGATGATCAAATGGACATGCATTGAAGAAGAAAAATACTATGGAAGTTGTAAGGACCATTAGGAGGAACCAACATTTGGCCCAAGGAGAACTGATTGTTGTGAAGATGGGACATAGCCTTTCCCTTCTAGTTTCAGTAAATGAGAAAAGGCCTCTAGAGTTTCAAGAGGAAATAATTGAGGAGGAGAGGAGAAAGAGAGATTAGTTTTGAGTAAACTGCCACCATCAATTCCTAAAATTATGGCATTCCAGGGTAGAAAGAGATCTTGGAAAGGAATCTCATTTTACAGATGGGAAAACTAAGGCTCAGAGGGATTAAATGACTTGCCCAAAGTGGTGAATGACAAAATGAATGCAGATTCCTGAACCCAGGCATCCTGGTGTTTTTCCTTATACCATGTGAAGAGGGATTTTTTTAAGTTATATTGTGTGTGTATGTAGATATACAATCTGAAGTTCACCATAGTTTTCTCTATGCAGTAGTCTTTGGCAGTCGAAGGCAGAAAGGCTGAAGGTGTATTTCTGGAGTAGACTCAGACACCATCATGACTTATTTACTTGCCATCCCTAACGAGGGCCTAATAAGGTACCAAGCAAATGGTAGGGCTCTCACCGAACGCTGTTGAAAGGACCATCAATTACAAGAGCGATGCTACTCCAGTTTGTTCTGCTCCAACAAGTGCTGTGGGGAAAAGGCTGGGACTGGCCTTGGAAGTGTGAATTAGGGTGCTTCGGGAGATGCAGGAAGAGGGTTGAAGGGATTCTGTTTATTTTCCAGGGTAATCTTGGATCATCCCACCATGAAGTTCAGTAGGTGCTTGCATCTTTATTTGTCCAGTGGAAATGATAAGCCACTGTTTCCCATTTTTGTCACTCTTAGTGCTGATTAACTATGACCTCAGATGACTTCAGCCCTAACTCCTTGTAAGATTTTGAATAACAAAGCATCCCATAGTAACCTTCTCTTACTCTCCTGCTTTATATGGGTCCTATTTGGGCGTAAAAATCCATGCCACAAAGCAAATTATCAACTTCACAACTGGATCGTTTTTTTCATAGAAATAAAAAAGTCCTTTTAAGAGGTTGCTGTGCCGTGTCTCTGTGGGGAGAGTAACCAAGTGCCTCACTCAGTGCTAAAGGATGTTATAAGCATTCAATGAAAACAGGCTGAAAACTATTTAGGACAGAACTTGGCATATAGTGAATGCTAAAGTTGGCTTTTTAAAAAAAAAATGTCCTGATGATATGGTCTAACTTACCTATAAATTGACAGGGACTCAATGGTACTGTGGTATGAATTGGGGAACTCCTGAAATTACTATGCCTAGTTCTTATTACTGAACTTAGTATCAGACATCAAGTTTGAAATTCATTAAGTTTGAAATTCAGACTCACCTTGATAGGTATTCCTTCTCTATAGGAAAAATGATGTTAAAAGGCAGCAGTAGTAATGCCTGTCTTGCACACACACACGCCCACATACCCTCCCCTTCCCTCTTTCCCTAACACACGGCCTGCGTGCTTTAACCTGCCTGAGTCACCATCTGCCTTCTCACAGATCCCCCCCACGTCCCCACGCAGTTGGAAGACATCAGGGCCTTGCTCTCAGCCACTGGACCGAACCTTCCTTCAGTGCTGACGTCTCCTCTGGGAACACAGCTGGTCCTGGATCCTGGGAATTCCGCTCTCCTTGGTGAGTCCAACCCTCTGAAACATTAGGCAGAAATCCAGGGCTGGACAGGATTTATGGATGGGTGACTGCTTGCTGGTGGGAGGGAGGCAGCAGCAGGGGGTGGCCAACAGGAAATCACTAAATTGCCTACAGAATCCAGACTCACCAGTGGAAACTTGGCTGACTTTCCATGTGAGGTGAGTGCAGTTCTTAGTCTGGACTCGATAGCTTGTCTAGATTGCAATCTATGGCCCCTTTCTGAATCCTCTTGGGCTGATGCCACAGTCCAGATCCTCTCTATCAGATTGACTCATGAAACTCTGAGAAAGACACAGCAGGAAAGAACAGGCCCTGTATCTCCTCTCCCTTTGCTAGCCATTCCCTGGTACTCTCCCATGACCTCTTCCCACCTAAACTAGAGCCATAATCAACTTCCAAGTGTTGATTTGCAATATCAGCACCTTCTAAAAGCTATATAATTCCATTTAGGCCAGCCTTCTGTAGGTAGAGCCTAAAACCAACCCAGACAAACTCCTCCAGGCAAATGTTTGCATAATTTAACCAGCTGCAACCTTCCTAGCATCTACCACTGGGAACCTTCACCAACTTATTACCTACAGTCTACTGCCCTCTGGTAGAGGGGGTTGTACAGGGCATCCAAGTCCTGGGGCCCTCACACCAGAACAAAACAGGCCTATGCATGTGCAGGGGCAAGGAGTGTATGAGAATCTATAGCTTACTCTTAATCATGCTGTGAACCTAAAGTTCCTCTTTAAAAAAAAAAATAACAAGACATACAAAGTGGGGAAAATCTTCATGCTAACTCTGTGTGACCCAAATGTTGATAATGGTAGCTAGAATTAGTCCCTTGGCTCAAAGTTTAAGCTTTCTCTACTCTTCTCCTCACTAACTAGCAAGAATAGGAGGTGAACAGGGTCCCAGTCATGTTGGTGATGATTTACCAACTTGGCCTCAGGGCCTGGTATCTACAGCATAGAGCACAGAAAGATTACCTGCCTTTTCATTACTGTCTGAGACTAGCAAAGGATCTTCATAGCTAATCAGCCTATGGGAAAAGCTTATGGTTTCTCTATTCTTGATCAGGGTATAAATACTAATAAGACACAGGTAAAGTAAAAATAGCAGTATTCTGTTCCCGATAACTTATACAAGCTTAGCATTGAGATTTTGCACATCATGTTGATCAAAATTCATGTGAGTTTCACATTGCACATTTTCTTTGGCTTAAAAATGATAAACTTATTCCAAATTAAATGTATGCACTGTGAGCTTCTTTGTTTTTATCATTATGAGAAATTCTCATTACTGTTAATCATAGCCCAGTCACTAGCAGGGTGAGTAACAATTATTTATTTTCAAGTTCAATAACTCTTTTGGGTCACTCAGGTGCCATTCAGCATGCTGAAAACGTTAACCTCATATTTTTCCGTGATAGCTTTACTTTCTCCCTTATTCTGGAATAATATTTTGTTTCATTTTAGCCATGGGCAATAAGAATTTACTGTGCTTTATGCTGCTGCATTCCACTGCTAGTTTATGATGCTTTGTTACCTCGGACTGGTATTTAAATCTAACAGTTAAGAGACACCTTAATATCCCAGTCCACATCCAGACTGCTCCATCTGAATGAGACAGTGAGTCAGTATTCATAAAGCCCCTGAATGTAACTGCCTGGGAAAAATGGACTCTAGTGGGGAATGTCAGTGTCAAGCCAGCACCGTAGAACTAGCAGACATCCACATGGGATCGTGGAGATGAATTAAAGAATGATGTCACATATCAGGACTCTGAGAAGTAGGTTATTTGAGACAGACCTGAGCCTCACTGTGATGCTTTGGAGTTGAGCACTGAAGGTAGGTGGGATTCAAACAGACAGAAAGGAGGAGAAACGGGCACTCAAGGGGAAGAAGATGCCATGAGCCCCAAGATGAAAACGTGTGAGATGTGTATCAGGTGCCTGTTCAGAAACAGCTATAAAGCACCACTGCTTTAAGACTACTGACAGGCAGCTAAACTGGAATAGAAACTAGGCCATCAAAGTAAAAGTCAGAGCTTGTCCACTTGGACTTGGATCAGACCCTCACTGCAGAGATTCTAATGCCCATCCTCTATCCTGGGCTTCCCCAGCCAGGGACTCATCCTGGTCCGTTAGTCCAGTTGCCCCATTTGGACAGGCTGCCACCCCTGGCTCCTGTAGGTGGCCCTTTCAGACCACAGTGTGTGCTCTGGGTACGGGAAATAAGCCAGAGAGGAGGTTTTGTGTAGGGTCGCTAAGAAGTTATGATAGTATGTGGCGTCAAATTGTGGAGGGCCTTGAATATTAGACTCAGGAAGTAGATTTCCTATGTGAGGAATGGGAACAGACCTTCGGAGGGTCTTTAAGTTGGAGACTGACATAGTAAAAGCAACGTTTGAGAAGAATTAATCTGACATTAGTAGGCATAATCCATAGTGGGAGAAGAGATGATGAAGAAACCCTATTTGGAGGGTAACACATATTCTAGACCAAGATGGCAATATGTGGCAAAGATACTGTTAATCACCCCACCTACAGCCAACTCTCAAGAAGGAATGTTGAGTGAGCAACACATGCATAGACCCATCTGGGCCTTACTTTCCATAACTGTCAATTGAAAACTTAGAAATAGGCCGAGCGCGGTGGCTCATGCCTGTAATCCTAGCACTCTGGGAGGTCGAGGCAGGCAGATTGCTCGAGGTCAGGAGTTCGAAACCAGTCTGAGCAAGAGTGAGACCCTGTCTCTACTATGAATAGAAAGAAATAAATTGGCCAACTAAGATATATATAGAAAAAAATTAGCCAGGCATGGTGGCGCATGCCTGTAGTCCCAGCTACTTGGGAGGCTGAGGCAAGAGGATTGCTTGAGCCCAGGAGTTTGAGGTTGCTGTGAGCTAGGCTGACGCCACGGCACTCACTCTAGCCTGGGCAACAAAGCAAGACTCTGTCTCAAAAAAAAATTAAAAAAAAAAAACCTAGAAATAGTGAGTCTCTTATTGCTCTCACACTCCTGACTTCATAGCTTAGACATAGAAAATAGAAAATGCCCAGTAGAGCCTCTGCCATGCAGGATGGACCCAACCTAACTGGGTCCATTGTCTTAGGCAAGACGAGTGCTAATTTTGTTATCCTTGTTAACAGCTATTCTTTTTGCAAGGCCAAAACTGAGCCAACTGCTCTGGAGGGCAAGGCCAGTGCCCACGCCACCACTTTTGGTGGTCCAGGCCCAAACAGTACCCCATAGGGCTCCATTTATAGAGCATCAGCAGTTCAGGCCTCCCTGTGGCACCTAAACCTTTTTGCAGATTTCTGTTAAATATTGGTTTTGGCCACTAAGGCCCAAGACTAATATTTCTCACAGTATCATTTATAGGGCATTAGCACTGATATTTTTTGAAAAATAACTTTTATTGGAGTTTTATTATAAGAGCAATACATCTTCATTGTAGAACAATTAAACATAGGGAAACAGAAGAAAATGAAAATTATCTGTAATTGCCTTGCCCAGAGATAATCAGGGAAAATACCTTTTTCTGAGACATTAATATACATATTATACATATCTTTTGTCTAAAATGAAATATATGGTATATACTGCTTGTAACTATTTTCACTTAATAGTATATAATAAACATCTTTCCATGTCTCTAAATAATCTACAATTTCATTTATAATGACTCCATTGGTAAAAGGTACTATATCTTATTCAACCAGTTCTCTAATGTTGACCTTTTAGGTTCTTTGCAATATTTTGCTATTATTTAAAAAATAGATATGATGAATATTCTTATTTCTAAATCCTTATGTGCATTCCTGTTTACTTAGGATCAATTCCCAGAAGTGGAATTGTGTCAAAAGCTTTGTATATCTTAGGTTTTTGCCATGTAGTGTCAGATTGCCCTCCAACAAAGTTTTACCTATTTTACTTGCCCACCAGCATTGTATGAGACTTCTCATTTTCCCAAAATGTTACCAACACTAGGCATGACCAAGAGTTTTTACATTTACCATTTTAATTGGTAAATACACAATACTGTAAAATATGATATAAAAATGGCATGAAAGCATTTTCATTTTTATTCCTTTGAATATGTGATTTTAAATATTTGCATTTTAACTTGTTTATCAGTATTTTATAGTCATTTATGAATTGCCTGTTCATGTCCTTTGATCATTTTTGATAGATACTATATGTTTGATATATTTGACAATTTGATAGTTGATATTCAATATTGAATACATGTTTAAAGTCTAAGCTTTTATGTTTTGACATATGTATACACCCATGAAACCATCACCACAATCAACATACTCATCGTCTCCAAGAGTCACTTCGTGCTGCTTTGTAATTGCTCCCTTCCCCACCACTCCTCCCATCCCAGGCAACCACTTATCTGATTTATGTTAGTGTAGACTAAATTGCATTTTCTAGATTGTTATAGAAAAGGAATCATACTTTGAGGGGATTTGGCTTTTTCATTCAAAATAATTGTTTTGTGATTCATCCATATTGTAACATTTATCAATAGTGCAATTCTTTTATTTATTGTTGATTAACACTTCATTGGGTAGTCATACTATAGTTTGTTTAATCTTCAACCTGTTGAGAGGCAGAATCGTCATTTTCAGTTTCTAGTTATTACAAATAAAGCTGCTACAAAGATGTATGTACATTAGTCTTTGGACATACCTTTCATTTCCCTCAATTAAACACCTAACAGTGACACAGCTGGATCATATAGTAGGTGTATGTTTAACATTATAAGAAATAGCCAAGCTGTTTTCCAAAGAGGTTATACTATTTTACATTCCCACCAGCAGCATATGAAAGTTCTAAGCTCTCCACTCACCAAAACTCGCTATAGTTGGTCTTTTTAATTTTAGATGTTCTATGTGTATTGTGGTTTCACATTGTGGTTTTAATTTATATTTTCCCTAGTAACCAATAGTGTTCAGCATCTTTTCATTTGCTTGTTTGGCATCC